GGTAGTTGGATTTTTTCTTTTTATATTAATATTATTCACTCCACTAAATAAATACTAGTTGTACTCTAAAAAAATAGTTTAATTATGGAAGAAACTAAGAATAATATTCAATTTTCAACTCAAAAAAGGAAAAAAAAAAATAATAATAATTTAATAATTAGTGAAACTTAATTATAAACGAGAGTGAACTGTAATTAACAAAGCTAGAGTGAAGGGTAATTAATGAAAAAATTGAAAATATTGTCGGAATAATAAATATTTTGATAAAAAATAAATATATGTTTTTACTAAATCGAGATTCTCAAATTAATTATAAATATTATCGATTCTTCGATTTTATGAAAATTTGTATTTTCATATCAGTTCTGATTTTCATGTATTCTATAAAAAAAAAAAAAAAAAAAAAAAAAAAAATTAAAAAATTAAAATGTTTGAAATTAGATTAGGAAAATTAAGATTAAATTAATATATATAAAATAAAAAAAAAGATGAAGAACTAAATATAGAGTTTGAGATGGCGTGTTGCTAGACTTGTCCGCACCCGATCGAGGCGGTGAAGTTCCATGGCCAGCACCACCCGACCTTCCCTCTCTCCTTCCCCAATATCTCTGATTCTCTCTGTTTTATCCATGGCGGGANCTGCCAGATCCCAATGCTTCTCTCCTTTCAACTTCCTTTAGATAACAAACAGATATGCCTGGCTTCCAGCTTTCGCCTTCCAATCAAAGCAATTCTCTCGGCTTCTTTACTCTTTTTCTTCTTCCTGTTCTGTTTTCTGACCGCCTCGCATTTTGGGGATGAAATTTGGCGGTGATTGTTTTTTTTTTTTGTTATGGACTCCCCCCTGTTTTCGTCTTTAATTTGTTGCGTTTCTGTTTGTATTACGATGCATAACCATGCGTTGGTTGCATGCGTTCGTCTTTATAAATTGTGTGCCGTTTGCGAAAGCTGTAATTGGTGGTGATTGGGGAATCAAGCGCGGTGCTCATGGGGAGTACTGATGAGGTTCGTTGTGTGTTTCCTTTGACAAATTTGCAAATCGGGTACGGTTTTTGTTCCTTTCGCTTGATTTCTTTTGCAGAAACGGAATTCATTTGGTTTGTTTGTTTTGCTTTGAATGAATTCGCGTTCGGCATGTTTGATTTTCTGGTTCTCTCTCTAATTAGTTCAATTGTATTGATTTCTAGACAAGTTCTGTATCTATTCGATTAAAATTGTTGGTGAATAGTATATTTGTTCAATGTCTAACTGTTTTCCCCCTTTTTGGTTCACGCGTTCATCAATTCAGCGACCTGCAGGCTTATCTCTCTGATCTTAGCCTCTTCTTGGCGGCTGAGAGTAAAAAGCTCTATGTCTTAGTGGACAATCGGCCATGGTTGAGAGAATTTGGTTCGCGCCCTGCTCGCTTGTGGCAGCTGATGGTTACGAAGGTCTATATCTGTTAAGCTTAGTTTATCGATTTGTTCTTATGGTCAGACCTAAAATACTCTTTCATTTTCAGTCGAGGCTGTCTCCTTTTGCAAACAGGAAAGCACGGAGGGATAGGAATAGTGAACGGGTGGCTTACCAGAGGCCCAAAAAGGCTAAACCAAAGAAGTGTGTGCGATGGTTCCCATTGATTAATGCTGTAACTTTGTCTCAGAAGAAGCTTCTGCTTCCTATGCCTCCTGTGAAAAATCTTGGAAATTCTTTTGTTCTAAACAATGAACTGCATAGGACATTGTATGGGTTTATTGTTTTTGAAGTTTCATGGAACAATGTTAGAGGTATAAACTACTTGAATGAGCTTCAGGTACCAACCCTTCCTTCTCATGCTTCGGTATTGGCTGTCGTGTAGTTGTCCGTGTTCAATGATTTACATTTCACCTGCAGACGGATACCTCTCTGGCCATAGAGGCTAAATATATGCAACGATGGGAATTTGATTGCATATCTCAAGCTGCTGGGAGCATATCTTCTTGGTTCACGGGTTCAGCTTCAGATGGGCAGCTGTTGAAGACTTATTTGGAATCAGTCACAGGTAGTTGTTTGTGTTTCTGGTTACTTCTGACCCAGATCATACTAGGAATGAGAGTATGTTTGTTCTGTTGTTCATGTGGAGAGGCTTAGAACAGTGTACTGATTTGCTTTGAATTTAGTGTGAGATCCCACATCGATTGGAGAGGAGAACAAAGCTATTGCTTATAAGGGTATAGAAACCTCTCCCTACCAAGCGCGTTCGGAAACTTTGAGGGGAAGCCCGGAAAGGAAAGCTCAAAGAGAATAATATTTGCTGGTGGTAGGCTTAGGCTGTTACAAATGGTATCAAAGTCAGACACCGAGTGGTGTGTCAGCAAGGACGCTGGGCCCCAAGGGGGTGGATTGTGAGATCCCACGTTGGTTGGAGTGGGAAATGAAACAATCCTTATAAGGGTGTGAAAAACCTCTCCCTAATAGACGTGTTTGAAAACCGCAAACCTTCTGAGGGTAGTGTTATTTCTAGTTGGTGAGACTGATGTGTAGCACACTCCCTATACCTCTTCAACAAATTGTTTTTATTTGCATCTCTAGATTAATATAATGAATTATATATTTCCTGCAAATGATCGTAAAATAGTGTACCGTGGGTTTTATCTCGTTCTTATTTAGAAACTGCATTAGTATGCTAAGCACATCTTTGCCTGTAGCTACCGAGAAGCAGATGGCTGCTTCGGCTGGCATCTGTGATGGCCTAGAACGTTTCCACTTACACATTTCATTTTCAATGCCATTTTTCAGGAGAAATTTTCTATGATGCTGAAGAAGATATCCCAGATGTTGAAGACAATTACGAGGACGAGATTATCTCCTACAAGAACTCATACATTAATAATGATTCGACCACAGCAGTAGACAGCACAAATTCGCTACAGACACCTCCTCCGACTGGACCTAATAAGAGAAGAAAAGTAACACAATTTATTGACCCAATGAATGAAGATGATACCTTTCTAGAAGAGATGGAAAACAGAAATAGTGATTTGCTAAGTGTCTCAGAGGCTTATGATTCCGATTCTCAAGATGTAGTTGAGGCTACACAATACAAAGACGTATTAATTTTGTTTCGGTTTGACGATCGAGACCTTCCATTTAAGTTGAAGGAAATAATAATGTCTGATATACGGTTGCTCACGTTGTTAGAAGCTGGTCTTCCATCTTGGGTGATCTTCCTTCAATCTTACCCAGTGTTTTGTAACGCCTATCGGCCTTGGATGTGCCCTTTTGCAAGAGCTCTATATGTTCTCGTATCAGTAATCACTGTTCTCATAGGATTCTATGATTTATACAAAAACGTCCCACTTTTGAAGGCAGCAGCATCTCGTTTGTGTGGACCCTTTTTCGATTGGATAGAGACTTGGGAGATGGTATCAAGGATTAAGTACTTGGGAACAATGTTGTTCTTACATAACTTTGAGAAAGCTATTAAGTGGTTTCTTACTATTTCACGTACCACAAGATCTTTCCTTTCAATTATTGCTCAACCATTGGCAAGTCCTGTCATGGAACTTCTAGGATTCCTTCTTCCTGTTTGTAGTACTTTCATCGAAGTTTTTGGGAACTTCTTTTCAGTGATCTGGGATGTGGTTGAATTTTGTTGCAGCCTAGTTGTTGACATAATTGAGTTCTTGCTCTGGCCATTGTGGTTCATTTTCTCGACCTTATGGAGCTGTGGTAAGTTTATATCGTATTTCCTATGTAATCTTTTTCTTTTTAGTGAAGACGTTCTTTCATGACATTTCTGATCCCTTTTCTTTTCTTTGCAGTAACAATGATTGTGCTTCCTGTGTTGTGGATCATTTCAGAAGTACTGTATGCTCCGATCCGAGTGGTCCTCTCATTAGCTAGTTTGGTCGTGTACATATGCTCGGGCATTTATGAAATGTTCCGAGACGTACAACATTTTATCAGTAGTGTTTTTCAAGTTGCATCTGTTTCAGAGGCAACGGTTGTCGCGTCTGAGGTTTCCATGTGGCGTACGCTTTGGGATGATCTCTTCTCTCAGGTACTACACAGCAAACAATTACCACTCGTTATATATCGTGGCAACTTTGCAATTATTGTGTCAATTTCTTTGCTTCAGGTCTTTCGAGCTCTTAGAAGCATATTAAATGGATTTGTTGCGTTCTTCACTGCTTGCAACAGACATCGGCTCAGGTAGGCTTTTCTGTTCTATTGTTGATTAATAGGATAATCTGATAAATTTTCATTCTGGAAATTCCTTTTGGAACTTGGTTCTTCCATGGGATGTTCAATAAAACTTCACACTGACCATCACTTCTTCCGCGATGCAATAGCATCTATAATCATTTACAGGAATGTTTTGAAAGATTAACTGGTCCAATAAGAGGCTCAGAGCAGGAAGCGAGCAGCCGTAGACGCGTATCGATGTCCCAACGCCTGAATCGCATGTATGGCAAGGTTATTTTCTATCTCATTTGCCGAAAATAAGCAGTAATGAATGAATGTAGTTCTTTGTCCAATGATTTTACTGTGTTCACAGTCCATGGAAAGGCGCAAAGTTCACATGGATTAGAAGTCTGTTGGTTTAATTAGGACGCATAAGATATACCACCTCACGCAGATTTGGTATGGTATAGTCAAAAGACACCGCACACGAGCAGCACATCTTAGCCAGAGGAGGCAGTTCAATTATACCAATACGGAGTAGTTCAAGTTGTACAGCTTTATACTCTGGTCCTTCCCATAACCTTCCCTCGGTTGCCGATTGAGATAACGTGAAGATGTAAATAATCAGGGTGTAAATAACATGTAAAACTAGTGTCCGTATATAACATCATTGATTGATTGAAGGATATAGGAACTCCTACACTTTTCGGACACTATGTTCCTCCGGAATCATGATTGTCGCAAATGCGCTAGATCTACCTTGAATGAGAATAAACCATTTCAAACTCTTGTTTTTTTAATTTTTTTGGTCTAATTCTTGAAAGTCTTCTAAATTATGAAACTAAAAGAAAAGAAGAATAAAAAGAGCTTTAAGTACAAAGTTCAAGTAAAATACACACCCATGTACCTCCAAAGCTTTAAAAAGAACGATTGATCCGAGAAGATAATATAGACCTCAAAACAAAGATTAAACTTAGATTTTCTCCCTTGTCAACGAAAGTGTTCAAATTTTAAGTTACTTCGGGAAGTCTTCTGCGAATCTACAGAGCAGTAGAACATGTATTCCAAAGGGTTGACCCACCGGTCTGGTGCAGCATTGCATCAATCTCATCTCCATCCTCCATCTCTAGCTGGGAAGTTACATGCTTTTGTTAAAAATATATGAATTTGGTATTGGATATCTGTTTAAATTAGAGTAAAGTATACCTCATCGGGAGTTTGCTCGGCACGAAGACGACGACCATCAAATAGGAAGGCAATGGAGTTCAGATCCACGGATTGTCGATCACAGTAAGCATTCATCAGTTTCTTCAGCTGAGTGCTCCTTTTAATCCTAAAGAAAACCTCATTTCCATCCTATAGTACATCAAAAAGCGATGACCAAGAGAGGTTATTATGCCTTCCATGCATACAAACTCGTTGTTTTTGGTAAGAAACCGAACTTTCTTGAAGATGAATGAAAAAATGTACAAGAGTGGTACAGTAAACAAGCTAACAAAAGGAATCAATATTACAATATTCCTAAATCAATATCTCCAACCATAAATTGATTTCAACTAATTGGTGTAAATAAGAACTAGAAAGAATAGGAAAAAGGAGCACGATCATTGCAGAAAGAACTTGATAAAGTGGAGTGAGGGTGAAAAGAAACGACAATATATGTAGTGAAACAAAGTAGAGAAAGGAAACTGGAACATACGTCAGAGGAAGACAGAAAGATCAGAGACCATGAAAAGGACAACTCCCTGGAAATTTGATGGGAGACTAGAAAAAAGATTGTGTCAATCACTCCTGGACAGAAGAAATTGAGACAGAACGGAGCTAAGGATTCATGGACATTTTCTCTCCCTGCCTTAATAAGAAGGAACACCAACTTCATCCTTTGTTTAGAAAATAATTATATTATTTCGAAAGTTGAAATATTACTTTTGACATTTAATAATGATTTCAAAACTAACTTTTAAGTAGAAATTCTTTAGAATATTGGATGGAAGATCAACATGATAATTATTAGAAACGACAAACTAGTAAATCGGACACTTATATGGATCAAATAGGAAAGAACTACACATCCAACACTCTCAATGATAATATTAAAACTTGTAAACAATATATAGGTATCTTTTATAACAAATGGCAAATCAAGGAATTTTTTTTTTTTTATAATTTAGCCTATTAAGGAACAACTCAACATTCCAATTAAATCACCATCATTTGTATCAATAATCACAACAGAGACCACAAGGCAACACGTTTCGGTAATAATAAAAAAATGCACAGATGTACAACTCCGTGCCATGTGTTTGAGATGGCTGAAGAGTGTCTTACCTCTTCTGCTGCTTAGGCATGTGTCAGATTTCATCGTATTGTCTTTATTGGTAAAACAGAACCTTTCACTGAAATAGTGAAAGACTTGTGATGAACCCCACTCTATTTTTTAAGGGTTTGATTCAATTGAATCTTTAAAATACACCAAAGCCACTCCATTGGACGTGATATTAAAAGAAAAAAAAAAAAGGGACATTTCTCAATGCATTCCAACAAAATGAAAAGAATGAACAAAAGAACACTACCCAGCTTCAGAGAAAACCCCCAAATGCTTTAGTGTTCATGGAAAACAAACACCCCAAAAGCATTATTTAGAAGGAAAAGAAACGGTAAATGCGCTGTTAGTACTCAGTAAGGCTACAGCACAGCAGGTATTCAATCCACAAGAGCACATACATCCCCATGAACATTATACTAGAAAGACATCAAAGAACCATTAGCTTATCCGGTGCAGGACAAGAGGACCAGTACTCAATCTTGCCCATCCACGGGAAACACAGTCCCAGCTCCCAGAGTGAGTATAAAAAAAATAAATAAATAAATAAATAAATTTAAAAAGGAACAGTCTGAATGCCAACAAATTGGAAATATTGCCCCCAAAACGGAAAGTAGAATTCCACCTATCACTCAGTTGGATTATCTAGACTCTGAGAAGGAAAGTAGAGATAATAATAAATTTTAAAAAAACCAAAATTTAAACAACGCACCTGTCATCGCAACTGTAACATATAATTGCACATATATAGCAAGAAACTTATTATTTTTTTCCATTTTCCGGTTTCATTTTTGCGAACAACCAGAAAGCGATTCAATAATAAAGAACATAGAGAGAATTATAGTGATCAATAAAACCCTACAATCCTATAATTTATACTCCTACTTCATCGTTCACTACCTAGCCGACACAGCCGAAAGTGATATTAAAAGAGAACATAAGAGAACCTGACGTCCAGTAACCAAAAACCATGAAGAAAAAAAATGATCAAAACCAAAGCCTTAGAGCATGAAATTTTCGCAAAAACCAACCATAAGAAGGCCATCGAACAGAGTAATCAAGAAAGAAACCAACCTGGCCTTTGACCTTCAGGTTGATATGCGCCGATTGATCGTTAGGCTTCTTGTCTTCCTCCTGCTGCGTGTTTGCAACACCCGACATTCTTCAATCTTGGCCGATTTTACCAGAAATTAGGGCTCAAATATTCTGATTTCCACCTCGTGACAAGGAGTAACAAAAATAATTCATATATTGATGTAAATAAATAAATATATATATATATATATATATAATATCAGAGCAACTTAGTGGTAGTGGGCCGGTGGGCCGCCCGGCTGAAACTATTGGGCTCTATATTCAACTATGGGCCCAACTACTAACTAAGGGTGTGCCAGCCCAAATAGGAGATTTGCAATATAAATAACAAAATTTAAAATAAATAAACTAAATACGGTTTGAAATGATCAGTAAGTAACGTGGTCATGTCATAGGGAATGTACAAAAATGTCACGACCATCAGGTGTTGAATCTAGACTTTGAATCCTAATCCGAATTCTAGGCAAGGGTCGCTACAAGACGATTAAACCATGTCACAAGGGATGCACGAAAGTCACAGTCATCGAGTGCTAAATCTAGATTCTAAATCTTGATCCAAATTCTGGGCAAGGGTCAGTTAAACCATGTCACAGGGGATGCATAAGAATGCCATAGCCATCAGGTACTGAACTTAGATTCTGAATTCTAGACAAGGGTCACTACAAGACCGTTTTAACGTGATTTGATTTTTCACAACCTACTCGAGATAAGGCCAGCATAGAAAAAAAGACCGAACAGGGAGGACATTACCGATATGTCAATCAATTAAGCTATATGCAATAGATTTTTTTTTCCTTATTTTAGGGCATGATGGGTTCGTAAACGAATAATAGAGACACGGATGATGGAGACGATAGGGCATTAAACTATTGGGAGGTGGTCCATATGTATTATTTAGGGGGAAAAGAGTTAATGAGAAAGCAAAGGTTGTGGTCCTTGTGATTCCCACTTAGGCTTTGCTTAGGCAACCAAACATAATCAATCTCAAACCCATTCCCCTTTGCATCAGTTTTTGAATCCGCAACTTTCGCCTTTCCCACGTTGCTCTCCACTCTCCATTTCATCACCCCATGCTTCTAAATAAATAAATAAATAACCTGTACTTATAAGATATTAGATGATTAGACGTGACAAATAAACGATATTAGAGCTTATTAATTGGTCTATTTTGTTCAAATCGTTTATAAGATATTCTATCATTGTCAACATAAACATAATTCCACTGCTCTAAACTAAGAGCCCAGTTGGAAATGGTTTGTAAGGGTAAATAGTAATTAGGGGAGAATTTAACCGACTAAATTATTTGGTTAAACAAATTGTTTATTAGTTTGTCTGTACCCACTACTAGCAAATATTGTCATATTTGGGTATTTTCCTTAATGGGTTCCCCCTGCTCGGTATTTTTCTTAAAGGGTTTCTCCCGCTCGGTGTCTAGCTCTAATATCATTTGTACTAGCTCAAGCCCACCACTAGCAAATATTTGGGTATTTTCCTTAATGGGTTCCCCCCTGCTCGGTGTTTTTCTTAAAGGGTTTCTCCCGCTCGGTGTCTAGCTCTAATATCATTTGTACTAGCTCAAGTCCACCACTAGCAAATATTGTTCTATTTGGGTATTTTTCTTAATGGGTTCCCCCCTACTCGGTGTTTTTCTTAAAGGGTTTCTCCCGCTCGGTGTCTAGCTCTAATATCATTTGTACTAGTTGAAGCCTACCACAAGCAAATATTATCTCTTTAGGCTTTTCCTTACACCTTTTTGTTTTAAAACGTGTTACTAGAGACATGTTTTAAACTTTCATAAAGGGTTATTTTTTTCCTTGGGTAGAATTTTCAACCCAAAAATCTAGGTCACTATTTTTCAATATACAAGTTGAAATAGGATGAAAATGACTATATTTGTGAAATAATTAAAAACTATTTTTTATATATAAAATTAAAAACATATTTTCTTAACTAATCAGTGACACAAACGTTTCAGAAACTAAGAAGTTTCGGAGCAACAACGTAGCCATGATTTTTTTTGCCTCACAAATTGAAATTTTGACTATTTTCATTGACTACAGAAAAAAGTTGACCATAAAAACAAACAAATTAATTAATTGCAAATAAGGACACAAAAAACACACAATTTAACGAAGACCCACACCTAATGTTTAAAAAATATTTTACTGAATAACAATTTTAATTCGTTTTGTTTTTTTCCTTATAATAGTCAAATTTTACATATTAATTAAATCTAAATTGTAAATATTTTACAATTTAAAAAAAATATATATATATATTGATTATATTTTGGGTCGGTCAAAAATAAATAAATAAATAAATAAAGATTTTGGCGTGATTAGTAATTTTCTTTTTCTTTTTTTCTTTAAATTATGAAAACATTTAAAATATGTTTGTCAATTATATGATTTAATTTATTATTATTTTTATAACGTTTTTAATTTCATTTAATTTAATGTACTGTTCTTGAACTGATTTGAAAATGAAAACCAAATTGAATAAATGCTAAATAATAAATAATTAAATAAATAAATAACAGGTGAAAGAATATCGGTCAATCCTTATAAACAACTGTTTTATTCAAAGGGAAAGTCTAAATTTGGTTCTAATTTCCAATTTTGAATACATTACTATTAATTAAAAAAAACGTGTTTATTTGTGAAAAATAAACACACGTGTCACCTCTAAATACATCTTAATTTCTGAGTCCAACTATATATTTTTATTTATATCTTATTTTCGTGTATATTTAACTTTTTAAATTTTTTTAATAAATTTAAAGCTATTAAATTTTGAAAAATATAGTTTTTATTGTATATAAATTATTATTTAATTAATAAAATGAAAAATACATGAATAAAAATAATATTTATGGAATGGGATTTAACCATTTTTAAATGGATGTCAATTTCAATACTATAAGACTATACATGAAAAAAGGAATAATAATATTGAATACGGAACTGAAAAATATAATTAACTTTTGGAGAAAATAAAAAATAAATAAAAAAGAAAAAAGAAAAGAAAATCACAGCCCCATCTTTTGCACGTTCCTTGTCTACCTCTTCCAACAATACAAACGGAATAAGAAAACCTTTCAATTTTTAAATGATTATGCCAATTTTTTTTATTTTTTTTTTATTTTTTTTGTGATACAGATTATTCCATTCGAAAAGAAAATTCTCGTTATAACGGAAAGTAGATACAAGGTACCTGACCGAATTTTTAAAAGTTGTTTGCTTAAAAAGACGTTATCGACCCAAAAATTAAAATTTCAAATTCTTCACTTCTAAATATTATAAAAAAAATTATAATGTAAAAATAATCCCTCGTTCAATTACAATTTTTATTTTTAAAATCCGACTGGTATAAATTTAAAAAATGATAATGAAAATTTTAGATTCTATTAAATATATAATAAATTTTATATTTAATAGACCTGTTATTTTTTAAAATGTCAAATATGTCGAATAATTTACGAAATTAAATTTAATAATTTTATTTTCCGACAATTGTTACTTGTACGTATCAAACGCTAATAAATGTCTTCAAACGAGTTAATGTTAGGGTTCTATTTTTTTTTCTTCTTTTTTGAACTAAAATAATTATAGTCTTTATTAATATCCTCAAAGATGTTCACGGTAACATTATAAAGTCGCATATAATATGTTACGTATCCTATTTCAATACGAAATTAATTTAAAATTAATGTCGAGAAATTATCAACTTTAGTTGATGAGAATGAGCAAGACAGATCCACTAAGTAAAAAATTAATCAATGTACCAACCTTAATTAAATTCTTCTTATCTAACCATGTAAAATAGTCAACCAACGGAATAGCTAGAGTAAGCCCTAAATCGAAAGATGGCATTAAATTAAATTGTTCATTTTGGGTTAAGATGGCTGAAGGTTTTGGCCAAAAGATCATTGGTTAGACCCTTCGAGTATATGCTTTCAACAGGAATTAAACAAGAGTAGATTGATACAATAGAAACCTCTAGTGTAAAATGCTCACCCGTAACCCAGCAGATAACATTTTAGGGATTGGTGACTTACCCATTCAGTGACTTGGTACTGGACGTTCCAAAAATAGGGTACTATCGGGTCGGGTGAATTCAATAATAGACGTCTGTTGGCATTCCAGCCTTCCTTCTCCTTTCAGGGCCTACCCGAAAGAGAATCCAGTGTTTCTTGGTCGTGAATATCTGAATAGGACGAACCGCCCCGTGGTTTGCTTCGGAACAAAACAATTAGAATTAGCCTCATTGAACTGGAATGTGTATTATCCATATGGGGATCTTTCAATGGAGAAGATCCGTCGACCTAAGACGAAGAGAAGGGTCTATTTATTTTATTTAGTTATTCAATTAAACCAATGATTCGTTATTGTAACAGATAGCAACAAACATTTCATCCGGGAAAAGTCATCTTGAATCGTAAAAATTTTAGATGATCGAGTCTTTTGAAAATAAACGGAAAAAGAAAATTAGAAAAGCATACAGTGAATGTGCAGGCTTCTTTTCTGGGCAATGCTAATCCACTGCACATGGGAAGCTTTCTGATCAACTACGTCCAATCAAACCCACAAGATAAAGAAATAAAGAAATAAAGGGAATAATAATAAAAAGAAAAAGAAATGAGGGCGAAAGCATAAATGGCTGTTGGGTCCAACATTGCGGGGACTTGCACTCTCGATCTCGTTGTCCTAATCCATATCCGAGTAAAACTGAGGTATATGAATAAATCGAGACTATGGTTAAGAAAAAGCTTATAAGAATACGTAGTTACTACTTATACTATCAAGACACAACTTTCATTTTCTTTGAGGTACCAATCAGTTAGAGAAGGAAATAAAACATTTCTTATAAGAATGTGAAAACCTATCTCTAGACACGTTTTAAAATTGAGAGGCTGAGAGCAATACGTAACGAGTCAAAGCAGACAATATATGATAGTGGTGAGCTTGAGTTGTTATAAATAGTATAAGAGCCATATAACGGGCGATGTGTCAACAAGGACACTGGCCTCACCTCAGTGGGAGGAGGGAACAAAATATTCTTTATTAGGATGTGGGAACCTCTCCCTAACAGACACGTTTGTAAGATTAATAGCGATACGTAATGAGTTTTGGGGTGGATTGTGAAGTCGTACATCGATGGAAGAGGAGAACGAAACATTTAAATCGCGAGGCTAGTAGAAATACATATCAAGTAAGAACTAAAAATTATAATTTAAATGAAGCGAGGTAAGGTAATTTTGTTGGATTTATTCATTTATGAATGGAATATGTCAGAGTTTTATTTAAAAAAAAAAAAAATTAAATTCCATTTTCTAATCATTATAGATCTTGTTGCCTCCAATTTTGTTGTTTCTTTCTTTCATAAGGTGCGACAAGATCTGATTTATTTTATTTTAATGTATCAATTTCTAACTCTTTTTTATTTTATTTTGGTGTATGAATTCCTTAAATATTAATCTTATATTATATGATTCTAATGTATTTTCTATACATTTCCTAACAAAATAATGACGTGTCATTTTTAATTAAAATTTTCAAATAATTATAATATATATTTCATATTCTCTCTTTACCTCGACCATCATCAAACTAAAATGAACTATTCACACACTCAGATCTAGCATCTAGCGAGACCCACGACGAACAAACAACACACTCCCAACGTGAAAAACCAAGCCAATCTAAATCTCGGGAGACCAAATCAATGTTTTAAGCAGAAGTAGCAAGAGACTAAATCGACATGACCTACAAGTTCATACACTCTCGTTTCCAACGATTTCAACCAAGATCCATGCAGTACCCAAGACCTACAATGACCCGAGAACACCTAACGACTGTGCATGGTAATATTTATGTGGCCCCTATATCATAATTCAATTTTATCTCCTTTTTTCTTGCTTTTTTTATCCATAAAATAACTCCCATAATATACTTATATATATATATATATATATATATATATATATATATATAATCAACTAACACATTTATGCACTCAACTTTATCGATACGGCTGACCTCAACATTTTAGTAGCCATTTATGATGGTCTTTCTTTATCAGTTATTGGTTCGATTTTTTTTCTTCATTCAAAATGTAATATTTTATAATTTTATTAATGGTTCTCCATACATTTTATTACATAATTAATAAATTATCAACATGAGCATAGTTTAATTGAGACAATATTAATATTTTAGTTAAGTTTTAGAGAGGATAGGGTTGGAATTTGATCTCTTATTTTGTACGAAAATATATATATTAGTATAATTTATTAGAAATAAGCCAGAAACAAAGTACAAAAAAAGAAAAACATTATAATTTAATTTATATATATTATATTAGCTTTTTAATATTGCTTTGGTAGCTTTCCTAAATTTAATAAGTCTTTTTGTCTTAAATTGGATGGATCTAATAAATAAATAAAGCAATAAACATTGTCTGCAAAAAAAGGCAGCCACTCTGATCTCGTAATGCTCATAAAATAAATATTAAATTAACAAAAAGAGTATCTTTTTTTTTTAAATATTCACCTTTTTATTAATATATTATATATATATAATTGTTTACTTATAATTTTAGGGAAAAAAAAATAGATCTATTAATTTTTTAATTAAATTTTTTTAGCGAGAATTTATTTGAAAGCTTAGTATATATTCGGTATGAGAGGCTATTTATCTTTGATTGTGAGATATTATATAAATTCATTCCTACCACTATTTATCAAATCAAAACACTTTTTTTTTATTTTTTATTTTTAACTATTAGTGTAATAGTTCAAGTCCACTGCTAATAGATATTGTCCTTTTTAGGTTTTCTGTTTCGGACTTCTCTTCAAGATTTTTAAAATAAGTTTTTTAGGGAGAGGTTTTCACCATCTTATAAATAGTGCTTTGTTCCCCCCTACAACCGATATAGAATCTCACAATCTACCCCTTTCGAGGTCCAACTCCTCATTGACACTCGTTTCTTTCTCCAACTGATGTGAGATCTCACAATTCATCTCCTTCGAGGTCTAGCATCTTCACTGGCACTCGGGAGCTTGGGCTGGTACAGTTAGATAGAACACAATTTATTTAAGGTTAGAGATTTGAATCGTCATACACTACTAGTTAAACCAATAGGGTTAGTCATCATCATTGTCAACATGAACATAACTCAATTATTAAGACAATCGTTTCTTTAGTTATGAGGTTCATTCGTAGCTGGATTAGACCAACATTCAAATTGAACCCTAAACCTTAATTAAATCGTTATCAAACCGACCCTGATATTAATAGTAAGCAGGGTAGATTTCGAAGAGGTCCCGAAAACAAATAAGGGTTTAGCGTCGTGAGCGGAGTTATTGTAAGTGGTTGGGGTGGATGGGAAATGGCATGGGCAGCTAGGTTGGTGCAGTCATTTTCAAAGCAAATCCCCATTGGCATCCCTTCAAGGCTTCAACCCAAACAAACTCCATTGGCTTAGTGAGTCAAAATGGCTTAGCCATCGGGTGTGGGTCCTCTCCCCTGTGGATATTGTTGAACCAGCCACGCCCCAACTTGTCGTTTTATGCTTTCACAAATCTTGCTATTATTCCCATTTCCACTAATCATCCTTCAAAATTCCCCTATAAATACCCTTCGCCCCTCCAACAAACCCCACACAGAGCAAAACAGAGTGAGACACAACAACAACAACCAAAAAAAGCTCTAATTTTGCACCAATGGAGTTCCCAATTATCAACTTGGAGAAGCTTAATGGCGAAGAACGAGCCCCCATCTTGGAGAAAATCAAAGACGCCTGTGAAAATTGGGGCTTTTTCGAGGTAATAATCTCTCGTTTACTCGAGTTTTTTTCTGTATAGTTCAATTGATTAAAATACACGTCATCTTGGCAGCTTTTGAACCATGGGATTGAGCCAGAGTTTCTGGACAAAGTGGAGAGGCTAACGAAACAGCACTACAAGAAATGTATGGAACAGAGGTTCAAGGAGCTGGTGGAGAGTAAAGGGTTAGATGGGGTTCAGGCGGAGGTCAACGATCTTGACTGGGAAAGCACTTTCTTCCTCCGCCATCTCCCCGTTTCCAACATCGCCGACTTGCCGGACTTGGACGACGAATACAGAGCCGTCATGAAGGAATTTGCTGCCAAATTGGAGAAGCTCGCGGAAGTGCTTTTGGATTTACTTTGCGAGAATCTTGGGCTCCCAAAAGGGTACCTCAAGAATGTGTTTTATGGATCTAAAGGACCCACTTTCGGCACCAAGGTTAGCAACTACCCACCTTGTCCTAAGCCGGATCTGATCAAGGGCCTCCGAGCCCACACCGACGCCGGTGGCATCATCCTCCTCTTCCAAGACGACAAGGTGAGTGGCCTCCAGTTGCTGAAAGACGACCAATGGGTTGACGTGCCACCACTCCGCCACTCGATCGTCGTCAATATCGGCGATCAGCTAGAGGTAATGGTTAAAAATCAGACTCTCCACAATAGTATAATATTGTTCACTTTAAGCATAAGCTCTCTTTTACCTATAAACCTATGATCATCAAAGAAACGCTTAAATGAGATGAACGTTGCAGGTGATCACAAACGGAAAGTACAAAAGCGTGCTGCACCGAGTGATAGCGCAGCGCGACGGGGAAGGGAGGATGTCATTAGCATCATTCTACAACCCCGGGAGCGACGCAGTGATATACCCAGCGCCGGCCCTGGTGGGGAAAGAGGGTGAGGAGAAGAATGAAGTATTATACCCAAAGTTCGTGTTTGAAGACTACATGAAGCTGTATGCAGGGCTGAAATTCCAGGCCAAGGAGCCAAGGTTTGAAGCCATGAAAGCTGTGGAATCCAACTAATTGATTCATCAACTCAGGGGAATATGTGGCCATAATTATGTGTGTTATTTTAAACTTAACTCATTGGAATAAGAATATATATATATATATATATATGTTATATGATATATTGTATGGTGAAAAGTGGGGTTTGTTCATGTGTATGTTTAAAATGAGTATTTGTAAGCTTGGAATGGAATGGATTGGTTAGTGGTTTAATGTAAAGTTTTGAAATGAGTGTGGATTTTATTTAGTATATTTAAGATTTTTTTGTTTAATTATTTAATACTGAAAGTGAGTGGACGTGGAAAGTTCATCCAAAATTGAATGTCTTCTGTTATGAGTGGGGCTTTTGGAAGTGTATAGAAAAAGAAAGTTCAACTCAATAAATAATACGGAATTTAATTATTAAAACTTTAAGGTTAAAGTTCTTTTTTTTTATCTGTCTCTAAAAGGTTTTATATATACACACACACATAATATGACTTAGCTTTTCTTTTTAGTATCTTTATTGTTTCAAAATAAAAAGGCTCTTCATATCATTTTTTTTGTAGACCGGTGACCCGACCAAAAAGCTTGTAGCTACAGAAGCAAAAAGTGATGTTCATATTATCGGATTTTAGAAAACAAAACTCATTTTGGGTTAAATAATGATATCAAAATCCTTTCCACTATGAATGACACTAATAAACCCGAACCAATAGAATACAGTTTTAATCAATTTTTGTTGGTATCTTTCCTATTGATGAAAGGTGACTCGTTAGTTCTACATACAATACAGATCCATTGTTGTTTGTGCGGCAATACGGAAAAAGTCAACGAAAAAAGTCGAGTCAATTTATTGGTAAGATAATAGGCGAGAAAAAATTGAAAAGATCACAAAAGTAAATTTTGGCCTAACAAATCCTTAATATTTTTTTAAAGATAGGATGTTTCTATGTTTGAAGAAAGTGTTATTTTAACAAAGAAAAATTACAGGTCAGGTCAGGTGGATAGAATTTCAGTGAAGTTTACACCCCCATGAACTTGACTTTGACCGAATATTGCAAAGGTAAACAAGCAGAAGTAAGTAATCATTATAAATTGGCAAAGGTAGAATACAACTCATCAACACTACCAACTATGCAATGATTGCCCGTGATCATTGGCATCAAACCTAAAAATGAACACAGTCAATATGGTTAATGGAATTCCTACTCATTGGCCCTAAGCTAAGCCACTATCCACTTGAGAGAGGCCTCTCCAATCATTCATCAAGATTTAACTGAAATTCATAATGTTCATAATAATCATTTCATATGAAGAACACGGTTCCCAGTGCAATGAATGGATCCAATAAGAGTCCATGAGAAATTAAGATGAGTATTATGAACTATTGGTTGATGGGTATATATATAAAGTGTACCTTTGGTTAAGTGGTCGTCGATCTTTTTCCACTAACACTTCCAGCTTCTTCTTCGTCTTGGCAAGAACCAGAGATAGATCATACAGCTGAAAATTGTAGCTACCATCCAAAAATTACTCAAAAATTACTCAACATTATAGTGTTCTTTTACATCCAAGTTGGCTTACCTTTTATAATAATTAAGGAAAGAAACGGTTAGAAATCATGGATCTCCACAATGGTATCATATTATCTACTTTGAGCATAAGCTTTCATGGTTTTGCTTTGGAGTTCCCCAAAATGTCTTATTTCAATGGAGATGTATTTCCTTACTTATAAGCCTATGATGATAGATGTATTTCCTTACTTATAAACCTATGATGATTCCCTAAATTAGCTAGTGTAAGACTCCCTCCCAACCATTAATAGAAACAACTTGGAAGGTGATGAATGAGAATATTTGTTAAAACCATCCCACCTAAATAGTCGTAAAATTCTCTATTTATAATCATAAAATAAATTACAAAAGAAGTAGAAAGAACAGTAAATAGATACAAGATCTTTGTCTATAATAAAAGGTCAAATATAGTACCTATGGCAAACCGTAATGGAATGTTAAAAATATGCTTAACCATGAAGATCGAGAACTTTAATTCCTTTTACCTCAACTATTAGATTAACCTCACTATGACTTTGAGGTGTGTGAATGTTTTCTGCTGCTTCCCTAGTCGTCTAATGAATGCCACCCGAACCACCAAAGAAATCTTTACAAAAACAAACAGACTGATATAGAACAAGAGTTTAGAATACCTAGAAGTGTTCAAATGTAAACATTCGTCATTACTCTAAGGGTAAGAAAAGAAAAGAAAAGAAAATTCTCTAAATTACTAAGAAGAATTTCAGGAGTTACTGTCTTTTCCATTTTATTCCTCCAGCACACGTCTGTCCTCTGCATTTGCCAAACAACAAACAGAAAGCATTTCAGTACAATAATTCTTCACCTCTTTGAGCATGAGAATGACATGGGAAGATGCCTCAAGTCGGAGATATCGAACAATTCCATAAACCTCTGGTCTGAAATTCTTGCTTTTGCAGCTGCAAACCTCTGGTACTCATCAAACACAGAAGTGAGGCACCACCTCTGCAATTTTCTCAGGCATCCGACAAGGCAACCTGTTCGATGCTGGACAGAGAGAAGGGTTTCTAGGTAAAGAGAGTGGTGAACTTGGATTCATGGGATGTGGAAGCATAGGGGGAAAACAGTGACTACCTTTCCTCTCTTGCAATGTATGAGGATTGGATGATTTCTATCGTCTGCATTGAGAAAATTTAATTAAGAAACAACAATCTTAACAGACCAATACTCTAGTCAATCACTTTTAAGATGATATTCAGTAGTACCAAGGACAACTTTCAGTGCTTCACGAATCATATCATCTGGGATATTCACAAAAGGCTCCTGGAAACCCAAACAATAATACCAATATAAAAGACAGAAAACTAACTCCAAAAGCTATATTGGTATTTCTGTGCAATCCAGCAGAGTCAGACATATTTCACTCGTATTCTCATTTCAACGGGAACATAATCATATAGCATCACAGTATACCACTTAAAGAAACCAGAAAAGATCACACGCAGGCTGATGCAACATTACCATAAATCAGGCATCCATAACTGGGGCATAAACAATGACAATTTGATCAAGATTGAAGCACTGAGGCACTGATAGGAAGGATTAAAATGATGTTGTAACCGCTCAAGCTCACAGCTAGCAGATATTGTCCTCTTTGAACTTCCCCTCAAAGTTTTTAAAAACGTGTCTGTTAGGAAAAGGTTTCCACACCTCCAACCGATGTGGGATCTTACAGATGTTCACTCACAGCGTAGTCTAAGTCATGGGCTTATGGCTTACAAGGATGCAATGAAGAAAATGTTCAAATCACAAATAAATGAAAAATGATAACCAAAATCCTCGGATTTCCTAAATTTAGAACACATTACACAGTCGGTCTTTTCCCAAGCTTAAGATCACATGAAACCGTTAGTAATCAAACCAATCAACATATGCTAGAATTTATGATACAGCTAATAACACTAGTAGATGAAATCGATATCTTCTTATTGCCTGAAAAAATTAGTTTCCTGATTCAAATCGATTACGATTCATCATAAATCTTATATCTTCAAAAGGTAACCCATGGCATCTAAGCATTCAACATTTTTAAATTCCAAATATCAATCTCCATCAGCTATATCGATGATCTGGCGTTGATTAGATTTAACTTTTGGCTGCAGATGCAGAGATGAAGAACTAAAACCACATTCCATCATTTCAAAATGCACTTCTCCCGACTGCATCTTAACTTGAAGAGACTGAGGCCAATTAGAAATTTTCCTTAATGAATTTCACTTCTCATAAGCGACTTCTGATGCTTCTTTTGAATTTTTTTCATCAATCTGATTCTAAATCAATTCTTTGGTAAGCACAATTCCCGCAATTAGAACAGCTTTGCAGTGTGAATATCAAACATAATTATCAGACAAAATTTCACTGATTCGCGACATAACTTAACCTTCAACATGTACTTTTCATAACAGCAATCGAGGACTAAAGCTTAACATTAAAATCATGCAGAAGATCGAAACAAATATGAGTTCAAAAAGGTTCCAATGCCCGAGACATCTAGACTTCTGCCCTAATAAAAGCTTATAAACTTATTTGATACTCAACGATGCAAACTCTTAAACTAATCGAACTTCGTAATTGTAAAGGAAAACTGATTTATGCGATGAACAACTCCATACCGAATTGCGCCATGCGTTCCCTGGTGAAATTCCATATAACTTAAACTACATGCTGTAATGTAAACGCTGAACATCTACAGTTCACGCAGTCATTTCCTAATTCAAATATAGCAGTTTTTATCGTTGAGTTGTTAACTGAGATCAGAAATTCTAATGATAAAGGAGACTCCAAAAATGAAAGGAAACGCACCTTATAGCTCTCGATTCCAAATTGATACAATCTGATTCCGTTATACTTGAGAAACTCCATGTTGTGTTCCGGATACGGTTCCGGACATAGACATCTACATCCATAAGTCGATGCAAATTCATCAATCCGTTCATCATAAAGATAGAAAACCCAAACATAGAAACTCAATCGTAAACAAGCAGAACAATACATACATAATGGAACGGAGGCCTAGGGTTTGGAGAAAGGAGAAGTTAGCAGAATTAGGGAAGCCGGAGCGGAAAATTCCATTATCAACCATGGAAAAGTTGAGGGGAGGAATATAGAGGCCATCACCATCCGGTCCATCCCTCTCGCAATCTTCAGAAGCTTCCAATTCGACCATCGACGATGCACTGCGATGGTGATCAGTTACATCGACCTCAATAGTCTTGCATATCTGTCCCGACTGTTGCTTCAAGCTCTGCTCTACAAATTTCATTACAGCTGATGAAGAAAAGGATGAAGATGAACAGAAAGAACCTGAGATAGTTCAAACTGCGGCTTTATAGGGAAGAGATGACGAGGGAAGGAAGAAGGCTTTGGGATCAAGACGGATATTCCATTTCTTCTTTGTCTTTTTCTTTCTTGACAGTGAAACTAAAAAAAATATGGAAATGATAACGACGTCGTACATATTGGATCACGTGGCGGTGTTGTGACCCTCGCAAACACTATGATGGGTCCCGCTCTTCATTTTTCCATTCACTCTCCCATCCCGCGTTCCACTCTTTCTCCTACCTTGCTCTCCCTCGGACAGCTCGGTCCTCAGAAAGGTCGATGGGCGAGGGATCAACCGGAGCCTTAGTTCCGGCAGTGAAGTCGGAGCCAGCTGCATCGTCAATTTCAGATTGTTCACTCACCGACTTCGACACCGTCGTGAGGCTCCGACTCAGCTGGATAAGGACTTCCTCTGCCCGATTTGCATTCAGGTCATTAGCGATGCGATCCTCACTGCTTGTGGCCATAGCTTCTGCTATATGTGCATCATTTCATCTCCATAAGAAGAGCGATTGCCCTTGCTGCTCACAGCATCTCACCTCCGACCAGCTGTTTCCTAACTTCTCGCTTGATAAGGTTTGTTTTCTGTAATTCAATTGTTTTTTGGCGTTTTTCTGTACCGTTTGATACGATCGATGGCTTTATATTGTGTTTTGGATTACTTAATTTTCTTACTTTCCGTCTTGAGGAAATTGCGAAACTATTCGAAAACTCTGAACAAAGTGTCCTGGGAAGGTCTGAGATAGGAAAATGTTCGATCACTCTACTTATATTGTGCGGTTTCTGTGCCTTGCTTTTGTGTCTGCTTATACAATCGTGTACTGGTCGATGAATAAGATTACTACCTTGTGGAAGTTCAGTGAAATAATAGTTCCTATTTTTTAATCTTCTTTGGCGATGAGTTGAACATTATAGTTTCATATAGCAATATCATCCTGTTACACAAAGAAATCTTCTGTTATTTATAATTTTCACTGTTTGGCCTGTGATTTTTTTTTTCTATTAATATTCTTGATTAATTTCATTGATGATGCAGATTAAGCATTGAATTTTATAAAATTTGTAGCAACCATTAAAATGTTAGAATTTAATGAAGCAGGTATGCAGATGCCGATCTCATTATTCTTTTATTAGAATATTATTTTATCAGATAAATATACTTAATCCATGTATGTTCTGTAATCGAAAGTGAGTTCTAGTAGTCTAGTGTATACAAATTGGCGAACAAAGTATGACCATCTTTGTCTTGAAATGATTTATTTGAAAATGCAGCTTATCATGATACGATTTTTCTGTACCACATTGTGGATACTGAAGAAGACTTCAGCCCATCAAATAGCAAAAACTTCCACCCCCATTGAATTCTTTCGTTGTGCTTTACAAGGGGTTAGTCATCAATGGTCAGTGCATCTGATTTGCATTTACATAAATTCTAAATTGGAAGTTTCTTTGCTATTTTGTGTGGGATTTGGGCTGAAAGAAATAATAGAATTTGTAGATATTTGGAGCGGTCTTGTGATGAGGACTGGGAGATGGTTAAGTTTAATGGCTCTTTGTGGGTCTTTCTGTAATTATGGTATTGACTTGATATTGTTGGATTGAAGTTCTTTTCTGTAGCTTTTGGGACGTTTCGTTCTGTTGCCCTTGTATATTCTTTCATTTTTCTCAATGAAAACTTGGTTTCTTACTTTAAAAAAAATTAGCCTAGTTGGTTTATTTTACTCCTTTGTGTGTTTATAAACTGCAAATGTTTCTGAATTTTTTGGTATGAATTGTATTTAGGTTCATTTACTTTGTTCATTTCAAATTATTCATCATGGAACAATGGTAAACATTATAGGATTCTTATTTTTTTATTTTCTTATTAGGGCTGTGGGTTCAATTAAGGAGCTGGACTCCCTCTCTTAGCAATGCTTTCTGAGAATAAGAGAAAAATGGAACAAGAAGACTCTGAGAGACATGAAAATCTTAACTGACTTCTTATATTGTCTAAGGAAGCAAAAAATTAACAAGCTGAATGAGGTACTTTTTTCCACAAGTTCAGTAAGTATTGAGGACATTTCTTAAAAAGTATTATTGCATTTCACATTATTTAACCTTTTTTCTATTTGGGCACTTTTAAACTTCTGTAGGTGTTAAGGTACTTATTAATTTTTTTTCTTTATCTATTGATCAAATATATTTGATTAGGTGTAGTAGTGGTATTATTATCGTAGACCTCCAGTAATCCATACTTACATGTGAGGTGGTAAAAGGTAACTTTGGGTTAGACTTAGAAGAGAGAATTTAATTTTAAAGTGACAAGCAGGAGGGCATGAGGTAAGCAAGTCATTTTGAAGTGATTTTTAGAGAATGGTCGTGGAACCTGCGTACTGATAACCTGTACTTGGGCAAAACTTTCTAGTTAATTTGTTTTAGTTTGTTCAGCTCTATATCTGTGGGATCATTTATCTGACTATTTTCTCTATTACTATTTTGATAGGTGCAAACTGATCTTCAGTTTGTTAAGGACGTAAGTGCAGTGGAGAGACATAGGATGGAACTGTATAGTGCAAGCGACAGGTATTCTATGAAGCTATGGATGGCTGGACATGATATGAAAGCTATAGAACCTTGGTTATCATTAATGGATAAGAAAAATGATGGGCCTACCTTTACATCTCTGAACACCAGGGGTGTTGTGTCCTCTGGGAATTCTCAAATTAAGAAAGCAGATTCAAGGAGTCAAGTCAGCACTTATGGTGACTGACCGGAAAGAATCCAAAGGAAGCTCTAAAATGGAGAGCTGCTCAACTTTCAAAAGGGAAAACTAACTTTTTGCTATAAGACGTTTTCTTAGTACACCTGCTCTCTTCATTTCACCCTTTTACAATAGCCTACGAGATTGAAAAAGTTTCCAGAAATTTCTTTTGGGAAGACAGTATGGAGGAAAAGGAAAACATCTTGTAAATTTATGAAGCCGTTTCTCCCCTTCCTATTAAATCAGGGCTGGAAGTGACGGAGGAATAAGGCTATGGTCTCGTAATGACTATGGAGGCTTCTAATAAGAGACTTGTTCACTTTAACACCAGTCAATTAATAGCTAATTGCTAGTGAATGCGGTCCTCCTCCTGGGCGTTGGACAACCATATTCAAGGCCCCAAGCTAAAATGTCCTGGGATTTTTGTAAGGAGGAATAGGTTCGTACCTTTAGACGCCATACAAATGAGAAAAACTTTGTTGGTCTGACAGTAAATAGCCAATACATTGCTTGCGGCAGTGAAACAAACGAAGTCTTTGTCTACCACAAGGTTATTTATATTCAAAACCGTGGCTCTCCATTCTGTATCTTAGAACATAAAACAAGTTTTGCCTCTTGTCTCAGGAAATCTCCAGACAGCTGACTTCGCATAAATTTGGTTCACCTGCTGCAGGTGATGTGGAGGATGATGCGGGATCTAATTTCATCAGTGCTGTTTGCTGGAAGAGTGATAGTCCTACTATCCTCAGTGCCAACAGCCAGGGAACAATTAAGGTGCTGGTTCTTGCGGTTTAATTAGTAATTTAACCATTTTAGAATAGAAATTATGTAGGTATGCGTCTTTAGCTCAAATATATTTTAGTAATGCTCACGATAGTGCATGTGGTAGGGAAATACAACACAGATGGGTCTTTTTTAGTTAAGGTTACGTGTACCCATCAAGAAGCTGGGGGGTATTTTATACTTAGCTCTTGGTGATCATATATGTTGAGGAGTTAAGGTTACATGTTCCCATCAAGAAGCTGGGGGGTATTTTATACTTAGCTCTTGGTGATCATGTATGTTGTGGTTGGGAGGGAGTCCCACGTTGGCTAATGTAGAGGATGATCATGAGTTTATAAGTAAGGAATACATCTCCATTGGTATGAGGCCTTTTGGAGAAACTATAAGCAAAGCCATGAGAGCTTATACTCAAAGTGGACAATATCATACCATTGTAGAAATCCGTGATTTTTAACAATCTATTCCTCTAATCATTTTCTGGAAGCTTGGATTGTGTTCTTTAAATTGGTTACATTGAACTAGTGAATAGAATGCCTTTGTCTGTCACAAGCCTTGTGATAGCATCTTCACTTGTATACGAGTCTAACTTTGAAGTGAAAGACAATGGGGTAAATGGGGTGGTTTCTGAAGAGTGAGCTGTGAGGCAGTAAGATGAAGGGCTGACTAATGCATCATCCAAGTATTTGATTTCAATCTTGTTAACATAAACTTAACTTTGGACGATACTTCACTCTAAAATGTAGGAAATTCTTGATCCTGTTTCTGTTTAGAATCATCTTGATAGTTACTATAATAAATTAGTCCCCAAAAACTTTGTACATTCGGCTTCTGCAGTTTCATGTTGAAATTCTCATCTCATTGTCAACTTTTCCCTCCCATTTCGCTTGTGGAAGAGAAAAATTAGGTATTCAATATTGGGATTCAGCAGGAGCGGCAACTCAGGTATGTCTCAGCCTGCTTTTGACTAGAGGCAATAAAGTTTGTTGGATGACCCATCCTAGATGTTTTTGGTTAATTTTGGTCTAAAGTTTTGAGGACAATAAATATCGAATATCCCTATAGTACCAAAGACTATGGTTTGAAGGTGACCTTTATTATGATTATTTTTTTTGTTTTTTTTTGTTTTTTTACCTTCATGCTTAGTTGAGTACTGACTTCTTTGCTTTACTTGACCTATTCATTTCAATTATTGATGCTTGCTTTAACTTCCTTGACCAACTGCCAACTGCCTGCCTTTTTACATAACGATGCTAATCATGCTTTGTCAGCAACTTCTTCTTTCATGTCATTTCATACCTTAATCCTTTTCAATTTGATCTCGTGAAATCAGCATTGTGGGCTTGGATACTACTACGCAGGTTCATATTACCTGAACAACTCGGACTATTCAATAACCATTATAAGAGGTACGGATTACATCCACTTCTCCACACCGGATTCCCTCCCTGTGCTGCCAAAAAGAAAAGAATATGATAATTGATTAATGAGCAATGGAAAGGAATAGAGGAAGAAAACAGAAAAGCTTTCTCTATTGCGTGTGAAGATTGTGAAGAAAAATAAAGTATGGGAATAGGTATGTGCATTTGGCACAAGCGTAGGGGACGGGGTGCTTGGTAAAACAATATTCCTCATAAAGAAATAGAGGAACCGAGAGTCCGTCAAATGCTCAAAATTCAAACCTATTCCTTCCCTTTTTATGAGAGTCTTTAACAAGCTTTCAACAACATTCAACCAATATGGGAGCTCATCATATGATTCGTAACTATATTGGGCACAATTCTGTTACTTATTCGTACACATAGGACACGACTGAGCTTCATTATGGTATACGGTTACACTATTTTTCTCCATGCCTTTTGACATTACCATATATTTCTGTTTATTTAAATTATTTTTATATAAAAAAAAAAAAATAACAGAGAATCAATGGTGGCGTTCATCCAAGATTCACGCACCTTATGGGCAAAGAGAAGCTCGCGACACGTGGCAAGAGGCGAATGGCGCGTGGTCCCCAGACAAAAAAGTTGACGCGTGAGGGAGATAGGAGGACGAATGAGAGCGTCCACCGATGGTGAGAGAGTGAGAGAGAGTGTGAAAACAAAACTAAAAATAATAATAAATATATTTATAAATAAAAATTAATTAATTAAAAACTTTTTTTTTTCTTTTTTCTTTTTCCATTCTTCTTCCTTTCGCCTATAATTTTGTTGGTGAGTGGGGGAGGCTTAATCTGTCCCTTTCGTGGGCCCCACTCTCGATTTCCCATTGTCTCAATGTTTTCGTGGGCTCAAATTAATCCCCCTGACCATTTTACCCCTCCTTTAATTATTTTTTCTTTTACTTTTTATAATTAATCAATTCATTATAATCTCCATAAAAATAATGTTAGAAATTTTAATTTCTAAACAAAATAGATTCTTTTAATTCCTTAAGAAATAAATTATTATTTTGATTAGTAAAACTTTAAAATATTTAATTCAGTTACGGGTAGTCTTCCACTACCTATAGTTAAAAGAATATTTCATAATCAGCGTATGTGCTTTAATAGTTAGATACAAACCTTACCATACTCATATTTTATATTATATATTTATTAAATAATTAACGGCATCTTTGTATATTTTTAATTAAAAATAATTAACTATAAAATAATAGTGAGAATCGCATATTATCCTTTTAGTTTTAGAAATCAAAATATGGTTCATCTAGTAAGTATATTTGATAAATTTGATTTTTTTTTTTTATCTAAAATAAATTTTGAGTTTCCTAAAAAAATCTATCCTTCCATAAAATTTAAATTATATATATTTTATTAAATATGAATATAAAAATAATAAAAATAATATATCTACTTCATTCCTAATAATCAAGCCATAACAATTGGTCTTGAATTTACAAACCAAACCGCAAATCTATTTCCATATGATATCCGACGTTCTTAAAACTATAGTCGAGGTGGTCAATTATTTTGAAAGTTAGCTCGTGGAGATATTGAAAGGGTAGATAATAGTATCCACAAAGACGATGGAAGTCTAAGTTGAACGACACTCACATTCGTAGACCATAAGGACAGTGATTTTAGGGTTTGGTTTAGCCTCCCATTGTAGTCTGGTTCAACCTGAGGGCAAGCACGTGACATGGCGCCTTGTCTCTGCCAAAATCTAAAAACTTTCTCTGATGCCCCTCTGACGGCGACGATTTTTCACTTTTTTCCAAAAAAAGTTTTAAACAATTCGAAAATGGCACATAGATTTAAGAAATTCCAGTGACGACACAATGACGCTTCTACCCTTCTAATCTGGAAATAAAGTTATTTTTCTCATGCCATTTCCGTCATTTCACACTTTAATGGTTTTTCGACAGTTTATGTGGGCCCGGCCCTTAAATTCTGGCCCACATTTCTCCACCGCCCCTCCCCGCTTCGCGCCCTTTCACGTCGACAATTTTTCGCCAACTTAATCGGCGAAAGAAATAGTCCCCCAAATTACTAAACTACCCTTCATCTCATCTCCTTGTTATCTAATTTCTTTTAATTCATTCTTTGAAATGACGCATTTGCCCTTTCTTATTATTTTAAAAATGCCTTTTTCAAGTCAACTATGGTCTATATGGTCTATGGTCTTTGGTCTTCCTTCTCTTTATAATGGTGGAAGAATTCACCCTTGACTTGACCCCATTTTATGGTCTTATGTTAATTCTAACATTATTATATTTAAAGTAATTTTTAATAATTATTTTCTCGAACGGGTGTGCACAAGAAGGTTCAATTGTGCTTTTCCGTGTCTACGCTGCAAGTCTCAAAGATCGGGTCTGTCAGTGAAATTGCTTGTAGATAATATGTCGTGCTTATGGTGCGAGTCTTGAAGACTTAGGGAAGGTTTAGTCCCGAGAATAAAATTATAAATAGTGTGCAATTTTTATATTTATTATGAAGTACGATTGTTTTCAGCATATCATTCCTCTAACCGTCACGATTCTTGGTCCTCGTTTCTATTACACGTTTATAAAATCATGCAATTATTAAAGGCAAATAATAATAATAAAAAAAAAAAGCAAGAAATTTCAAAATAAATAAAAATAAGAAAGAAAAAGAAGAAGGAATCGTGGATTCTTGAGGCCCACTCTAATTTTTTAAAAAAGTGAAAAAAGAGTAAAGACAATAAATAATAATTTCCTTGAAAATAAAAAAAAATAAAAAATAAAGAAAATACATTTTACACTTTATTCCGAGTTATTATTATTCTACAATTCATCGTAATTTTCTATATTATAATACATTAATAATTAAACCCGCCTAATTCCTATACAAAATTGTTGAATATTTATCTTCGTTAGATTATACTTTAAATTCGAATAAATTTTTCTATTTAAATATTAAATTTCATTTATTTATTTATTTGATAATTTTGACCTTATAATAGGGTTTAATAAATAAAAATGAGCTGGTTAATTAAGATTGAGTTGAAATTAATGAATTTATGGGAATTAGTATGCTTTATTTATTATTATTATTATTTTTGTGAATGAATTTATTTACATTACCATTAGTCATAATGAGCAGAGCAACCAAAAAAATGAAGTAATAATGGTGTATTAAATAATTTGTTAAATATTAAGTTATAAAAAATGGGTAAAAATAAAAGATAATAATGGAAGCCAAACATGCCCTGGTACTAATGAATTAATTAAGGACATAATTACACTCTTAATTACGATCATCGGCGAACAATAAAGGGCAAAATGGTCATTTCCACATATTTGCCGTATTTATTATTTGTACACGAGCGTGAAGAAACTTGTTTTATCGTTAATTGAGAAGAGAGAGAGAGAGAGAGAGAAAGTGAAAAAAAAAAAAAAAGGAATTTATCGAATTGGAATAATAGTGGATTTTACATTGATTCTTCACAATCTATCCGCGATTCCCTTCTCGCCTTGGTTCCTTATAAGATTTCTATATTGGTTTCTCTCTTCAATTTCTGACTGGGATCATCTTTTTCATTAGAGGAAGATCACACCATTTATTGAAGTTTTTTATTTTTGAAAGAGAATTTCTGAGCGATTTGGGGGCGTTTTTGTTGTTTGTTATCTGGATTTTCCCGGTAGATTTGAGGAGCTTCTTCAACTTTGATTGGTTGGATTTGAAAAGCATTTGAAGGGGTTTTCTTTTTTAAATATCTACGACCGATGCCAGATAATCTGCAAGTTCAGAGGAATGCTGTTCCTAACCAATCCCCTGGTAACACTGAAGCTTCAACGATTTTTTATGCACTTTTGTGTGATTGTTAGGATCTGATCCTTGTTTTTTCGTTATAACCATCTAATGACTTTGGATTTTTTGTGATCGGGTTTTTTTTTTCTAGTTTGAGCTGTCTTCCAAGTGTTCGAGTGTGTAAGAAATTTCGTGTGATTAGCGATTTTATTGTTCTCTTCTGTTTATGTTTCTGTCTTCATTGAAGATGATTCTGGTTAAATGTATTCAAGCCTCATCGGTTATCTCGTTTTGAAGAACTTCTATTGTGTTTTGATGCATTTGAGGCATGGAGAGATTTCCTTTTCTTCGTGTTCGGCAATATCGATTTTGTTGCTTGTAGTTATTTAGCGTTGGAGCATCTTTTGACGGTTTATAAAACGAAGGATGTTAGTTCTCGATGCTGTGTAGATCATCGTGTTGTTCATCACATTTTGATTTCTTGATTTCTATTTTCCCCTCTTTGAAATCAGATGTCTCGGAGGCGCTCTGGCGGTTGGAAATTAGCGATAATCAAGATGGAGGCGACGCGGCAGAATCAAGCCCTTACCCCGATCGACCTGGCGAACCTGATTGCTTGTATTATATGAGAACTGGCTCTTGTAGCTATGGAAGTAATTGTCGTTTCAATCATCCTGTCTACGTTGCTCAGGTATAAGTTATTTTGCTTCTGCAAGAACATTGGAATCTCTCGATTGACGCCGATGTCGCACAATCATCTATGATATACATGGTTCCTCATGATCTTCTATCTACTGATGATTGAGTAACGCATTTCTTTCGCTATTTGTTGATCATACAGGGTGCTCTTTATAATGGGGAATTGCCAGAAAGAATTGGGCAACCCGACTGTGAGGTATTATTGTTGGGATTAAGTTTCTTAGATTTCGATGGAGTCTAATTTATCCTACATGATAATCCTTTTGAAACTCTTTGACAGCCTTGATTTGAAAACCATCTTGAGCTGTGAAATGAGATAGACTCTTTAGGGGAGATTCATCTCAGGGCTATTTGGTGACAATTTTTGCAGTTTCTTATGACTTTTATTACTAATTTTCGAACGTGTTTGCAGTATTTTCTGAAGACGGGGACATGTAAATATGGAGGATCATGTAAGTATCATCATCCAAGAGATAGGCGTGGAGCTGGGCCTGTTACATTTAACATTTTAGGTCTTCCCATGCGGCAGGTGCGCGGTCTTGGTTTATCAATTTTATGCTGCGTATCGATATCTTAGATAGTTGGGATGATTTTGATGAGCCTAGTGCTTTCACAGGAAGAAAAGTCGTGTTCTTATTATTTGCGCACGGGATCATGTAAATTTGGAGTTTCATGCAAGTTTAATCATCCCCAGCCAGCACCAGTTGGAAATATGTTACCTCAAGCTAGACCTGGTGCTTTGGGTTCTGCAGGCACTCCATTCATGCCTTCATCTGGTTTACCATATGCTAGTGGAATTCCTGCTTGGTCATTGCCTAGAATGCAATATATGCCTGGTCCATGTGTTCAAGGCCAACAATCTTATGTGCCTGTCCTGGTTTCTCCACCACAGGGTGCCATAGCTGCTCAAGACTGGAACACTTATGTGGTAAGTACCCGTCTGAATGAACAAGGTTTAGCTTAATTCTTAATGTCTTGCATATTTATAAACGATTTGTTGCGTGAAATATGTAAGAACCTTGCGGTTCTGCCTTATCCTGGAGCCATTCAGGACGGCTGCTCAGCGATTATGATACACATTAGTGATAAAAATTGGGATGTTCAGAATTTTCTAGTAGCTGTTTCAAGCTCTTGAGAATATGTGTTGGTTGTTTCAATTTCGTTTGTACATCTTCTTGCTTGTCTTGTACATTAGCATGCTTCTTTCTTGCCTGATAGAAGGTATTGATCTTCCCACTGTTTCAGTTTAGATGTGCCTGTCGTCGTGATGGGTGGGCTAGATAGTATTGTCATTTTCAACATTTTTCTGTTGGCCATGAATATCTTGTGCTATTAAACTTTTGTAAAGGATTAGAGATGTGATTTTCGAGCAGACGTGTTTCTTTTTTGTTCTAACTTCTGTATATTTATCAACTATGTAGAAAACAAGGTAATTTTTTTGCTTCTTTTGGGTAATTTTTACTGATAAAGTTGCCTAGGTATGTATTTTGAAATCAAATGAATAGAATTTTTTGATTTACTGATGGTGTGTACTTTTTGTGATTATTATCATGTTCTATCAGAGCAATGTCAGTCCTGTTCTTCCCAATCTTGGTTATAATTCTGTCAATTTGGAAGACTCGCATTCTAATGGGCAGTTGGCCTTATCAACATCAACTCTAACGCTACCCGATCGACCCGATCAACCAGAATGCCGTTATTTTATGAACAATGGCACATGCAAATATGGATCTGATTGCAAGTTTCATCATCCGAAACAAAGAATTGCACAATCAGTAATGAATGTGCTTGGGCTTCCTTCAAGACCCGTAAGTGTTCTTATTCTTAATCATACAAAAACTTATGAAATTCGTTTATAGTAAAAATTGAATCATGAATCATTCCAATCACAATGAAGTGTGAAAAGACAGATCAAGTACATACTCTAAATCTCTGCTGCTTGTTGAGTTCCTTTTTGAAATCCATTTAGCTGGTAATCAATCAGTTATATCTTTATTCCTCATCTCCTACACAGTGATTGATTTCTTACATGGCTGCTTCATACAGGGGCAAGCTGTATGTTCATACTACAGTATGTATGGGCTCTGCAAGTATGGCCCAAGTTGTAAATTTGACCACCCATCTGCAACATATCCTTATAACTATGGCTTCACTCTGCCTGTGCTCAATTCATCTTTCATGAAGTATCCCAGCAACAACTATACGTTGTCATCGCACGATACCTTGCCCCAGACGGTATCCAAATCGTCTGAATGGGTTCAGAAAGCTGATCCTCCGAACGACAAACAGCAAACTACCGATACGAAAGTTGATGATGGCACAGCTGAAGAGGTTTCCTCTGTTTCATGCTCATTATCAGGTGGTTCTGAAACTTTACAAGATCAATCTGGTTGAAAACCATGCCTATTTTGACTCTGTTGTTTAGTATGTTGTCAAGGAATTACAAATTTTCTTTACTTTATACCTCCCCTATGCCCCAATTTCACCTGTGATAATGTGGGAGTGAAAACAAGTTGCTTGGAGATTTGTTTACTTGAGTCATCTGTTGTGGGGCAGGGGAAGGCATTTTTTGTGTTGAATAAAGTGCAGGTGAAATTAAACCAACCAATCCCACCCTCTTCTGCTGTTTATCCTTTCTCTGTTATGATTATGTGACTTGAATTTAAGTTTGCAATCTGATGAGATTTTGGTTATCGGTTTGACAATGTTATTCAATGTAGCTGTCACGTTGGGGTAACTTCTAGGATACTTAAATAAATGGCTACTTTTAAATTCTCTCATTTGATGGGGTGTTTCAAATCTTATGGAATAACTTTTCAGTTTGACCACTAAAGTGGCTAGGACTGGAGAATCGTAACTAACTAAACTGCAAAAGAAAACTGTAAAAATTTCTTCAATCATTAAACGATGTTAGGTGAGTTTTTGTTAATTGATTCCATGTGATTAGACGAGATCAACAACATTGTTTTAGGGTTATCAACATTGTTTTAGGGTTAGGGTTGGGTTATAATTTGGTTCTAGAATATATATATATATATATAATCTCTATACCTTTACAAACATTATCGATGGAAGAAAGTTCTTTGAATCTTGAAAAGTTGGAAATTAGTGGATGGTTGTGAACCAGACATGAACAACCAACATGTTTGTTGTTAAGACAGCATAACATTTTTTTTCAAATTGTCTTGTTTTCCCAAAATTTTTCTTTCTTTAAAATACCACAGTAAATCAATTTCATCGACTCACGGTCTTGTTAACGAACGAAGGTTAAACCGACCCGAACCCAAATCAAGACTATTGAATTGGAATAATCTACTTGAAATAAAATAAACAAAGTATAGATCTAATGGCGATCAAGACTATTGAGTTGGAATAACCTACTTGAAATAAAATAAACAAAGTACAGATCTAATTACTCATTCATATATAGCTTATCTTGGAAGCCGTAACAAAGAGAAGGATTGCATGTCATGTTCACTAAAAATCTCTATATTAACCCATAAAGAAAATTAATCAAATTTCGACATTATTGGTACCTCAATTAATTAAAATAATATTTTATATACAGGAGGAGAAATAATTTTTTTAATATTTTAACTAATTAAAAATTAAGTTACAAAGGCGTACTTGAGTATCACATAAGCAACCGTTTCCCAGATTAAATAAATAGATTTTTTTTAAATAAATAAAATTGAAATGGATATTGACCTAGATATTTCTTTTTTTTTTTTTTGCCCTTTTATTTATTTTTATTTACTGTGCCGGTGTATTTTCAAATAAATAAATAAAATATTTCGATCTCAGAGTAATTTTAAAAATATGAAATAATCATTAAAATTGATAATTATTAAGAATTTGAAAGTTAGATGTTTTTTTTTTTCTAAGTTAGATTATATTTGGTTTCAACCATTTATATATATTTATATTATTGTTAGGCATTGATTTTCCTTTTTTTTTATTATTATTATTTTAACCTTTTATATATATATTTATAATTGATAAACTATTATTTGATATTCATGGAATAATTAAGAAAATCCAATTCATCTCTTTAAAAAAATAATTAGAATTTAAATTATCGAAATTGCAAACATTATATTTTTTTTACCCATAATAATAAATAAATAATTTAATCAAAAGAAATTGGAGGACTATATTAAATGAACATCAAATGGGGATATAAGGTGGCGTTTTATTTATAAAGAGAAGGTGGGGCCCGGAAAACGCCACACACGCTGTCTGTAGCGCGTTGGAGAAACTCTGGTGGCAGTGGGCACACCGGAAGCCACGTCGGAGAAACTCTGGTGTGAGTGGGCACACACCCGGACCCAGTCAAACGGGTCCGACAAGTAACTTGAGGACGTGTGGCCATTTTCTATTGGATTCTTCCCGACAGATGTCTGGCACTCTTCTAAAGGTTTTGATTTCCGGCCCAACCGGCCCGGTTATGCGGTTATTTTCTTGTACTTACCATTTCATTTTATTTTTATTTAAAGGCATGATGTATGCTATCATTTTAAAATAAATTAAATAATATTATGTGATTAAATATAAATCTCTTTCCTATATATGGTAAAAAGTAAATAATACCCATATATTAAAGATACTAACCATATATATTTTTAAATAAATAAAAAATATATTACCTCTTCTATTGATTTTATTTGAAAAACAATGTTTTTGAAACAAAACAAGTGAAGGGTAAAAACTTTTTTAAAATTTTAGACGGAACCGAGTTCGTTATGCATGGTTACTAAAAAAGTATATGGTAACTGACCTGGGCAAAAGTAATTCTGATGTATAGGTAAATAATTTTTTTATAATCTAACGTAATTACTACAATTTCAATATATATAGACAAACGTCTCGAATTTCTATATATAAAAAAGAACAGTGTTTAAATGATCCATTATAATGTTGTAACATGTCACAATTCAATACACAAAATAACTACGTGCATACATATTTGGCAGTTGAAAAGTGTGTAAAACAACGGTTAACCTTAACCAACAGGAAAGTGTCTTAACTCGAGTCCGAGCTAATCAATAGGCTATTAACCCTTCGATCTCCTTTAAATTTGCAAACTACTCACACTAAATTGAAACGTGAGGTGGATGCGAGCAAAGACAAATACCAATAATATTTTTTTTTATAAAAAAATATTAAAAGAAGGAAAGGTGTGTTTTTATCGAGGGATATTGGTTGAGTGTACGTATATGACAGATGTGTACATGCCTTGTCTTTTAGTTCTTGCAGAGGCCAGGGTATTTTGGTCATTTCTTCATCCTACCTATATTTTTATTTTTTATTTTTTATTTTTTATTTTTACCCCACATCTTCAATTAATTAAAAAAAAAGATGATAATTACGAAGCAATGAACCTCGACCCGATCTCTCATTCGAAGAGATTAAACCGACCGTATAGAGGTTGAAGGAAGAGGAAGAACCAGAACAAAAAACCAGAGACAAAAATGGAGGTTCAAAATTGACAGTCGGAGGAGGTGGTAGCCGTGGCTCTGAGCAGATCAATTCATTTTTGCTCCCAGCAATCTGCCTTCTTCTGCAATTTTTTTTTTCTTCTTATTTTTAGTCTCATTTCGGTTCGAAGATTTTTCCTCTTTCATCCATGCGGCGAGGCAGGCCCTCAGATCCATTTACAGCGACAGAAGTGCCGAAATCTACCGTTCAGCGCGAGAATCCTCTCAAAGAGATCCGATACAGAGGCGTTCGGAAGCGTCCTTGGGGAAGATACGCCGCGGAGATCAGAGATCCCTGGAAGAAAACTAGGGTTTGGCTCGGTACCTTTGATTCCGCTGAAGAGGCTGCTCGTGCTTACGATACTGCTGCTCGGTCCCTCCGTGGAGCCAAGGCCAAAACTAACTTTCCTTTACATCCATCGACGATTTCGATTCAGCAACCTATTCCGTTTTATCAATCGCCGCCGGATTTGATCGATTCGAACGGTTTTGGCAAGATAGAGTGTGTCCAGGCTAATAGGCCTACGTCGAGCAGCTTGAGTTCCACTGTTGAGTCGTTTAGTGGACCGCGGATTTCTAACCCTTTGTCGTCGTTGTCGATGGTTCCCCGGAGGCCGGTGCAGCCTGTTTCGCCCGACGACTGCCATAGCGACTGTGATTCCTCCTCCTCGGTTGTTGATGATGATGAGGTCTGTGTTCTCGCTTCTTTCCGTAGAGCCTTGCCGTTCGATCTTAACTTACCACCTCCCATGGACGTCGTGGATTTAACTGGTGATGATCTTCAAGCTACTGCTTTATGCCTCTGATGATGCTGTTCTTGATTCATATCATCGTGGGTTTTACAATGATCCTCTCATTTTCCACATTTCTTCTGTTTTTTCTATCTTCTTTTCTTGGGAAAAAACACTAAACTGAAAAAAAATTCAAATATGGTGGTAAGTTGAAGAGAATTTTCTCGCTCCCTCCTGTCTGTCGACTCTTACTTTGTTAGACTTTTAGACTGGGTTCCCTTTGACGGCCATGGCCTATATAATCTTGTCTGTGTTTCATTGAAGCTTTTTAGCATCGTTTAAGCTATGCTGTGCTGTGTATCTGATCTGGGATTTTCCTTTCTTGATCCGATTCACACCATCAATCCATACTCTTCTGTACAAAGATTACCCATCTAATTTAAAGAATCTGCAGTTGTCTTATTGCCATTCTCTTCGCTTAATCATGTATCTCTAGTTATTATGTTCATATCTATTTGACTTGCATTCTTCTCTGTGTGGTGATGGTGATTTGATCTGAAAATTTGTTGGGAAAGGCACCGATAGGGGCATGTTCTTCATGATTTTTACTTCTAGGAGGATAGAAAATTGAGTGTTTAGGCTTTGGGGCTTGGTTCAAAAGGGGGGGCTGATGAAGGTGGCCATTCATTGATTTCTCTGATAGGGTTCTTGATAAGAAACATTTATTGCACATGTGATGCTGCCTGCTGATTCTTCTTGCCATACCATTTCTGATTCTGATTCTGATCTCAACGTGCCCTAAAGCCAATAGAGAGGCAGGCACCCTTCCCAAGTTCTTCCCCCTTTTAGTAGGCCTTCACCAATTGCATTACTTTGCTCAGTTTTCCTTCCCAATGCCATGTGCTTGCACCTCTCATATTGGCAAAACCCAAATCAGTAAAACTTGAAAAAAGGAAGCCAAAACTGATTCAAAGGGTTTTTCCCAATTTCCCCCAAGTGTGTGTTAATATGTTTTGTTTGCATCTACAACAAGCCAAGCCAACTCACCCTCCTTATGATCACCATGGTGAGGCTGGCTGACCCTTGATATTAACTTCTAGCTATCATCCTTTTCTTTTTCCCTTTCCTTTGAAACTCTGTTTATATTGCTAAGTTATAATTTTCGTAATCTTTTCTTTTCTTTTCTTCTACGTTACTCGTACATGATATGTTCTATGAATCGAAGAATGGTGTTCTTGAATTTATCTTGCAATTGTGTGTCTTAGTTGAATCGGATAGCAACGGGTCGTTAAGATACTGTTAAATGCATGTACTAAACCTTATATTATGCTAAGATGTAGAGATTGAAATTGTGATTTAAAAAGAAAAATGAAGTGGAGTGAAAAATTGAACAAAATATTTGAGATTGATTTGAAAGGAAGGCCCAGCCAATAAGTATGATACAGGTGTTATAATTTTGTTCACTTTTCCTTCATTTTTACTCTCAAACATCTTGGGCCATGCAATTATGATACACACTTCCAACCATAACATAAGGGAAATTTAGGCTATATTTTGGTTTGCTTTCTTTATTCCTTTCGGTTCCTTGCTTTTAGATCTTCCAATTTTAACCCTCTAATGTATTAATTAAAACTTCTTCCAACTTCAGATTGATTAATCGTAAAATATACTTTATTTATAGGTGTCTCAGGCGTGTTGGATGTCAAGATTTAGTGTCATGGTCGTATTTATCTAAGGGCAATATTGCATGTGGTAACATGTTAGATGTCACAGTCATACTTGTGTAAGGCATACTGTTGGATGTCAAGACTTAGTGTCATGGTCGTACTTATCTAAGACGTATTGCCTGTGGTAACATGCTAGGTGTCACGGTCATACTTGGGTAAGGCGTACTGCCTGTGACTGTATGTGTATTCCAAATCTCTTTTACTTCTTTTACTTGCTTTCATGTTAGACAAATCTTTATTCATTTTTGTTAGGTCAATACAAGAGTGCATACCAATGCTAAGATGCTTCAAAATGTATTATAGGGGACGTGACTAATCATCAATTCTTCCTACCCCTATCAAAGTCGTGGGTGTTACTTATTTGCTGGCTAGCCTATAACATTGCTTTCATAAAACCGATTTTTAAATGTTTTTTAATACTTTCTTTGTCCCCATTTTCTAAAATATTTTATTTTATGAAAAATGGGGCTAAAGGTTTGAATATATGTTGGCCACATTAACGCCGACTCGAAGTCTAGTTGGGTGACTTGCTTGAGAATGAAAATAAGTATTCGAAGATCGAATAGGTGATTTTTGTCTCTCTATCAACCAATCTGTTATTTGTTTTCAATGGTGACTGTTCGTGGATATGGCCAAAATCGCACCATTCATCCTTCTACCTAACAATATTCTTTTCATTTAACACTTTTTCAATTCATTGTTCTTTTTATATTCTTCCAATTTTTGTTACTAAATAATATTCTATTTTGGTCTTTATCCACGAGACAATATCAATCTAAGTTTGTCTCGATAAATTCGAACTATTCAATGCACCCAGTATAGATCGAGTTGAATTTTTTTCTGTATGGGTTGGGAATTTTTTAAAAACTAAAAATTTGTCTCGGTTCGTGGATTGTAACTTTTTTGGTCGGGTCATCCCGACCAACCCGAAATAAGGGTTCACAACCCAACCTAACCTAACCCTATTCTACTTTTACGATTGTTATAAAAATAATAATATTTGATGCATGCAATATATGTTCGCGATGTGAATTTTTTTTTAATATGGATAAAATAATATGAAATTTGTACTTAATACATGATTTAACAATCCATTCAATTTGATTGCAACGACAGAAATTCTAATATTTTAGAGAATCGGGTAAGTTCTGTAAATAATTTTCGGAAATGGTGTAAGATGTAAATACCTTAATCTTTAAACTTCGTTTAATGGGCTAAGTTGCTAATTGGCCCAAAATTTTGTCAGGATTCAACTTTTGGCGGGCCGATCATCCTCGAAGGGGAATTGGATTCTTGAAGGGAAACAAAGGCAGGAGGATCGCGGTCTTCTCGAATTCTTTGGCGGAAATCGTCGAATTTCAGAGTATTCAATCCCGAAATCTGAACCACGAACTGCTTAGAATGCACCATGCAGAGATTAAAGGCCTCGGGAACTTCGATTATACGCTCGATTGCAGTTCCTAGGTTGAAGAGGAAGGCCGTGAATTCATTGACGGCCGTTCAGGATACTTTCTATTCTACTAAGGTGATTGAATTTTCGGATGCTGAGTTTGTTAATGTTTGAAGATTATTGAAATTCGATGTTCTGAATGCTTATGGGGATTTTTTATTCAATTTTTTTTCTCAAGGATGTAATCAAGCCCTTTGTTCTTCTCCATTGTTTACATTGTGGTTCTGGTCTTGGGTGTTTTTAGGATGTATTCGAAAGGCATAGGGTGGTTTTTACAGTGGGGACTTCTATTGCATCTGTTGCAACTGCCTGGTTCGGTGAGTTCAGTGATTTGAATTTTCATTTCCCTTATTGTTTTTCCGTTAAATTCTGCGTTTGATTATCCTTGTACTGTAAAAGAACCAATAGGCTTAAGAGGCCAAACGTTAGATTACGATGAATTTGATCTTTTTTTGTTGATTATTTGTTTAGATATGATATTGTAGCTTTGCTCCCTATATAAGAAGCAAGCCTATCTCTAATAGAAGCTGTAATGGATACACGTTGAATTTTTTTTTGTCCAGCAAAGCCTTCAATTAACATCCAAACTAAATGAATGTGAAGGGATTGGTATCTTTAAATTGAAGATGCCTTATTATGAATTATAAAACATTATAACAATCTATTTGGTTTTGTGTTTTGGATTAAATGAATTGTGTGTTGATTGTATGCTTTAGAGGTTAGCAGAAGTTAAGGTTGTATTGATTCTGCTGCAGGTTACACTTTACGCCACTATCATGATGTTCAAGTTGACAGAAGGCTTGAATCTATTGAGGAAGCTGTAAGCATTATCGTGTGAATCTGTTAATTTATTTGAATGTAGTCCAACCATAATTGCATAGCCATCGCTTGGCATTCGAGTGCCCTTTTAAAGCTGTGTTCTTATGGCTACTTGGCACAACCGTGCAAGCACTTTCTTCATCAATTTTTTCCTGAGTGTATGCATGGTTAGGGTTTGTTTTAGGCACTAAAAATTTGAGACTATTCATGCCTTATCAAACATACAGTACACTAAAGGAATTTGTGCACTGCCACTTCTGAGCCCGTTATTTCGTTTGCACATGAATGCACTATGCCATCTCCCCCTACACGAATAATGGTTAGATTCACATTTATGTTTCTGTTTCGTGGCAGATGAGAAAAAAGCATCAACTTGAGCATTCGGAAGTTGCAAAGGCTGTTAATATTGGAAAGATCAGTACTCCTGCATGCTTTGCAACTGCTGGAACTTCTTTGATCATTGGGTCTGGTTCTGCGTTCTAATCCCTTTTTATGATGCAATTGTTTTCATTATCATATGGACTTAAAACTCTTTGGGACATATAGTTTCATTCTTTGAGGCGGATTAAATGCAGAAAAATAGTCTATCCTCCTCCCTGTCATGAGATGATCACTGGTAGTTGTTACTTATTCGAATGAGATATGACTCTTTCGTGATAATAAGGACCACTTAGGCCTCTTTCATTAGCCCTGATAAATCGACAACTAATGTAACCATCTTTTAAGTATTTTGTGTAATAGCTCAAGCTCACCGCTAGCAGATATTGTCTACTTTGGCTCGATATGTATCACCGTCAGTCTCATGGTTTTAGGTTTTCATACCCTTATAAGAAATGTTTCGTTCTCCTCTCCAACTGTTATGAGATCTCACATTTTGTATCATAAGAAACTCGTGTGATTCATTCCATAAACCTTTCATTCCCTTCCCCTAATGGGTTGAGAGACACCAAGTTTTCTATCTTCATCTATTTTCATTACTTCGTAGTTCGATCATTGAATTCGACACTTCAATACACTACTATCCGAACCTTTTTTGTCCATGCTCCATTCTCTAAGGTAATCATTACCCAGTGTGGATTGTGCAGATATTGCTTGGGATGGCGAGGTGGAAAATGTTACGCCAACAAGCAATTTAGACGAGAGCAGATGAAGTTATTGGGGGAGGCAAAACCTAGATGGCAATTGCTCACGAGGCTAAATCCTAAAGGGCTGAACTTTCCATTCAGGAGATCATCAGGCAAAGCTGGGAAGCAAGAAAGCAGCAGCAGCAGCAGCAGCCAAACAAGGAACAAAACTCCAAAAGATGCTGCAGCACAAGAACGTGAGGAGAAAGTCACCAGTTCCAAGCAAGCAATAGCATCATGATGAAACGGGCAATGTCTTGAACTTTCACTTTTGTCGTCACCATAACCAGGCAGGTAAGTGTTTTCACCGGTAAGGCCTCATTCTTCTTTTGTCAAGTAAAAAAATGGAAAGAAAATGT